TGCCACTGGAATTGTTTCTTTAAAGTTTTGTGGAATCACGTGGGCCTGATCCAAATCTTGGACCAACTATCAGCAGATCTCTGCAGAGCAGGAGAGAAAGGTCTCCCAGGCATCACAAGTCCAGGGCTCCCTCCTCTATTGCTAAGTTAATAAACTCTTCTTGAAACATGGTGTCTATTTAGTGTCATACCACCTCCATCATTCAAAACCTACACTTCTATCTCTAGCCGTTCCCTTCCAGGATTCCTTCAACGGCCACAAAGAGACACAGTGTCTGCAATCCTAGTCATTTTCTAAAGGGTTATGTGTGCGCACACTCTTTTTGGGGGGTGGCAGGAGTTGGTGCTTGCTTAGATAGGCATTTTCTGCATTTCTCTCTCTGCCTGCCCCAGTATTCTTGCCTTAGTCTATCTTAGCCCTGTTTGTAGCCGTTCTTACTCAGGGTGGGACCCTATCTTTCTGGGAGTGTATATTTCTTGGTGATTTCTGAGCTCCACACCTTTTTCTGCCTTGATATGTACCATCGCTGGTTTCCGTAACAGTCTTCTTGCCCTGGCTGAAATGGTTTTAGATGCTTTTGGCAGCACTTAAAATGTGGAATTTTAAGGTTTTTGTTTCATCAATCTTAGTTACTTTGTAAGGTCTTCAGTAGGAAAAAAGCAGGAAAATTCATACACACACACACACACACACAAACTGCTAAAAGCTGTCACCACGTTCCTACTAGAAATTCTAAGTCCAAGTTCTTTATAAGTAGCTTTTTTTCTTACATAGTATTTTAAAAATCTCACATGGCATCTTAATTGTGTAAAATGGTCTAGGAAATTACTGCCCAATGTTGATTTTTAATTATTTATTTTGTGTATTATTTATGGCAATATTTAAGCTCATTTTCCAACAAGAATACTTTGTGGCCAATTCTTCTCTCCACCTACTGTATATGCAGAGAAAGTAAGCTAATTTTAATATTAGCATAAGCAAAATAAAATTAGGCAATTAAATCTGTGGCACAAGGTTACAATAATATAAATTAAGGCAAAAATAAATGATTTGGGAAACATATCACAATTTCCTACATTAGTGTATATAAGTAAGAACTGAAAATAAACAAACTTTATGTAAATGTCTACTACTAACCTTGTTGTCCATCTGGCATGGTCACGATGATGGGCTGACCTATTCCACTGGTTGGAATGGAGTGCAAATTTCCAAGCTGAATTCCATCTGTAACTATTGTGATGACCTGCTGACCCCCTGAACTAACTACTTGCTGAATTGCACCATCCACAGATTCTGCAGTAACCACTTCCTCTGTGGCCACTACTGGAAAAAGAAGTATGTAAAAATCAGTGAACAAATATAAAAGTATGAATAAAACTATTTTTGCTTTTTCTGCTACCTTTGCTTTCTCTGCTTCTTTCTTACACAGGAAAATTTTATGTTTTTTTAAACTCAGTCTCCAGCGATGCCATAAATGTCTATTAAACAGTTGACTACAAGCCCCACAATTTATAATAAGTTATCTCCTACTTATTGGAAACACCCTTGAATAAAGTGATATATTTTTTAAATGCTTATTAAACCAAATGCTTTCCAAATGTAGTATCTATCTATGTGTATGCATGTTTAAATAAATAATTTCTCTTTATTTAGTTATATAAAGTACAAAATCCCTAAGGTCACAGATTATGGCAAAGGTTACATCTGATTGATTAATAAAATTCCACAAGCCAAAGGAGAACTTTATATGTGGTTATACTTCATTTACACTTAAATACGAGTTTATATACATTTCCATATTCAGTGAAACACGGAAATTCGTGTATTTAAAGTAGACAGAATAAACATTATTTCCTTTTTGTATTAAATGATCAAGGGTTGCCTTGATAATAAGTGGATACAGATGTGATATTTGTATAACAATGAACAATATATTAATGTTATATAAATAACATCCAAAAATATGCTCTTAATATTTTATAAGAGAGGCTTAGAGAAGATTCTGGCAATTGGAAACAGTAACAAAATTAAAAAAATCACAAGACAATACTGCCAAAATCCGTTGCCATAGGCAATCCTATGTCCAACTTCTGACCCCAAAAGACACACACAGGAATGCTCACAGCAGTTCTACCTAATAATAGTCACAAACTAGGAACAACCTAGATATCCATCTATAGTAGAATCCATAAATAAACCGTGGTAGATTCATACATTAGGATACTATACAGTTAATTAAAATGACTACATGCAACAAAAATAATGCTGAGTGATGTAAGAGGACACAAAAGAATATACATTGCCTGCTTTCCATTTATGACCTAGCAATGGTTAGACAGTTGTGATCACTCTGTGATAATTCATCAAAATTGTATACTTACATGACCTATGTACTTTTCTGTATGTATGTGTTATGGATTGAATTATGTCCCTCAAAAATACATGTTGTAAATCCTAACTTCTATGCCTATGGTATAATCCCATTTAGGAATGGGTTGTTTTTGTTATGTTAATGAGGCAGGATTAGTGTAGGGTGTGTCTTGAGTCAATCTCTTTTGAGATATAAAAGAGATCAAACAAGCAAGCAAAAGAAGCAGAGACAGTGGAAGACACATGCCAAACCACATGAAGACTGCCCGGGAGCAGAAGCTCAGAAGAAACAAGGAGCTTCCTCCAGAGCAGACAAAGAGAGAAAGCCTTCCCCTAGAGCTGGCACCCTGAATTCAGACATCCAGCCTCCTAAACTATAAGAAAAATAAATTTCTGTTTGTTAAATCCACCCATTTGTGGTATTTCTGTTATAGCAGCACTAGATAACTAAGACAGTATGATACACTTCAACAACAACAAAATCATAAGGAATACTGATAGTAATGAATTATATAACATACTGAATTTTTAAAAATTCATTTGTCTATAGCAGTATCTCATGAAAAAGGGAGGAAGGGACAATCTTCTTGATGGAAAAATGACACTGAATTAACATAGAAGGCATAACAAAATTGGAAAAATCATACTGTAATTCCCAATGTAATAATTGATTTAGGCAAGGATCACTAATGGATGCTAAAATCATTGGTAAAATGTTTTTGGGGGACAGGATATTCAAACGGTCTCAAAGTATCCACTAAATATTAGTATTACTATTACCATAAAGATATGGTAGTCACCAGTTTCACCAAGTGGTCAATATCAGGATGGCCTGATGTGATACAATGGGAGGTTACAAAATACCACCTGTGTTCTTCCTGGAAATGCTTGACCTGAATCTAATCCCTAAGAAACAAATGAATATAGAATATGTACCCATTTGTCCTGCAGGCAAGTGACCTGAACTCTATATAAAGATTTCAGTGGCATTAAAAAAATAAAAAATAAAAAAAAGGAGGCAGTAAGACTGTCCTACATTAGAGGAGACTAAAGAGATACAATAACTGTATACAGTGTGAACCTGGATTGGATCCTGGATCAGAAACAAATAGCTATAAAGGATATTTTGCAGGCAACTGGGAAAATCTGAGTATGGGTCATATGTCAGAAAATGTTACTAAATTAATGTTGATGCTTTTTATATAGGTTATATAATAGAGCTGTAGATGTGTAAGATACTATCCTTGCTTTTGGGAGGTATATGCTGAAGTATTTAAGGACAAAGTTGTCATGATGTCTGTAGCCTACTTTCCGATCTGGCAAAATGGAACTCTGTAGGGGTGTGTGTCAGAGACAGGGCGTGCGGGTGTGTCAAGATGTTAAAGTTGGTGAATATAGGTGAAAGGTATAAAAGTTCACTATATTGCTTATCCTCCAATTTTTCTGTGGGTTTGAAAATTATCAAGAGAAAAATATTAATTTTAAGAAATACTGGCAAGTTCCGATAAAAGAAATGACATAAAACTATTTCTAAATGAAGTATTTTTTAAGTGTTATTTGAAGCAACACTTTACAAAAAGTGGAACTCAATAAAATCATTCTCTACTCAAGTCGAGCTACCATTCACTCAGTTGCTTAGAAATATGCTGAGTTGCTACCAACACATAGCAGAACACATGAATATCAATAATCACAGAATTTACGAAAGAAAGAGAGGTCATAAATGTATGAACTCCTTTAAACAAAAAAGGCAAGATAAGTACTGGGACCATAGTTTTCAAGGGTGTACTCATGGCAACAAGCCTGGCTTCCACCCTATTACTGTGCCATTTGATAATCAAGGGTCACATACAAACCACAGAAGATAACATTCAAAATGCCAACAATATTTATGTTTTGAGTTCTCTCCTTATTTTTGTTTGCCTTTAAACTATAATTTGGCTTTATAACCAAGCACTTAAGAAAATTTCAAGAAGGTAATTACAAAATAAAATGTAGGGTACAAATAGTAATACATTCAATAGAACAACTACTAAGATTTTCAAACACATTAACTATTGCTTTGATTTTTTAAAATACCATACGAAAAAGAAATGTAAATATCCTAAAGCATAATCATATGTAAGAAATTTCTGAGATCACACACAATAAAGGCACAGCTCAAGAACTTTCATCTTTGTACTATTTTCAATGACTGTCATTAAAATAATAGAGTTCTTACCTTTCATCTAAAAAGCTTTCTTTTTAAGTTGTGCTATGGTAAGGAATTTAAGAAAAAATTACAAAGAAACCTTTATGTAAGAAGACAAAGTACTCTCAGAAACTCTACAGAGAATCTAATAGTAAAATGTTGAAACATGTAAGAATAAAACAAAAAGCTTAATAACTCTAAAGAGTGTTGTTTTAAAATACATATATTTTCCCAAATGTAAAACCTCTAAATAGAAATAGCTACTATCATAAATATTCATTGATTTGATTCAAAAGTCAAGTTGTAATATTCAAAGACAGACTAGATAATCAACAGCATTTTAAAAAATGTCTCTCTTGTTCAACATGACTTCTGAATTATAATGCCATAAGATTCAAGACCAGGAAAAACTGTCTTTAAAATATTCTAAAAGATTGAAAATTCTATATAGAAATATTTTCAACAATAAAACAGAAAGTATGTTTATTAAAGAAAAAAGATAACATTTCAAACTTCTCATGCCTGCAATTGAAACTGAAATTAAAAATAAAAAAGCAAAACCAAAACAACCTCATAACTTATCCCTTAAAGCCAATTCACTTATATTGCCCTATTTTAGGAACTGACCAAAAAAACAATGTGCAAGGGGGACCTGGTTCAAATTTCACTAGTAGGGAGAAAGAAGAGAACCTTTAAAGGCTACTAGACATATCACAGGAGTCCCTGGGTGGTGCAAACGGTTAATGCACTTGACTGCTAACCAAAAGGCTGGAGGTTCCATCCAGTCCACACAGAAGCACCTCAGAAGAAAGGCTTGGCAATCTACTTCCACATACATGGGGTCACCATGAGTGAGAATTGATTTGACAGCAACTGGTTTATACTTATTAGACCTTTGGAGAAACCACCTTATTAGCAAATAGCAGAAATTGCTCTAAAGACAAAGAGAAGGGTGGTCACAGACGTCTATTTAACCAAAGGATTATACAGCTGGGCCACAAGGAAGAATAAGGTTAAGCAAACAATAGTTGATATAGGACTGCAGGCTAGAGCCACAAAATAGCATTTTATTAAAGAGTACAAAGAAGACCAGACAACTACACAGCAGATGTAAGGCTCACATCTAACCAATCACAACTTCTGATTATACATCCAAAAAACTCTCAAATCTATTCACTTCTTACTATCTCTTTGCTACACTCCTAACCCAAGCTACTATTATCTCTTCCCTGAGGAGTTAAATAGTTGGAAAAATAGTTGGAAAAATAAAGGTTTGTCAGGAAAGGCTAGTAAAGGAACCAATCCAATGAGACAGACTAATGATCAAGTATTAACAACGTACAGTTATATTTGCTTGTAACGTCGAGAAAAGACAATGGTACCGTTTGGTTTCATAATGAAAGCATTATAATAGACTAATTCCCTTTATCAGGTTCCCACTGGACTAATATTAAAGTTTGTTTTATATGTCAAAGATGGTCCTAGTGTAGTAATAAGGCATTATTTAAACTCATAGTTTCCAAGTGGAAAGGCACAGTGCTCTAGACTCTCAAAAATGTCTTTCTCTCTACATATAGGAACATGCCAGCAAGCTGGCCCCGCATTAAAAATGCAGTCCAGGAGACACAGCGAACGTGGCACTA